GGATACTAGGTGTGCCTTTTTCTGGGCATGCAATTCACAGGTGTCTTACAAGGACTGCAGAGCACTGGATGACGACCAAGGTAAAGCACTTCATGGGGGACACCCAGCCAGGAGGAAATACTGAGGAGATGGATTCTGGAGTCCTGTTGTTTTCCAGGATTTGGTGCCTATCTGCAGCTTTTAGCTGACTGCTGATGTGAGGCAGGGATTTGCAGCCTGAAATCCTTATCAGGATCCTAAAATTCACTCAAAGAGAAACTACAAAACAGACTGAATTGGGTAACAGGCTGATGATGTGAATAAATACAAAAGGGAAAAATGATGTTTGCCAAAATGATTCTTTTTCAAACCCCCTACATATGGTTTAAACACTGGTGGTAAAAACAATGTTGTGAAGATCTACAAGAAAATATGTTGAACTCCTGTTTAAACATCTTTGAATTACAGAATAAATAAAACGCTAAAGTAGCCTAAAATTCTGAACCCCATACATCTTCAGATGTTACAAAGAAGATTAAGCCTTGATCCGAATTCTTCTCTGGTTTAGCTTCAGTGTTGCAAATGGTTTTACAAATACCCCATAGTGTGTCCTTCCAGAAAAGATATTGTCTCCTGAAAATAAACTAGATGGTTATATTGGAAAAACAGAAAGCATTACTTTAGTAAATAGGCTTCCGAACGTACATTGTATCTGACTGACTCTAACAGCGACCAGGATTTCAATTTTCAGCCAGAATGAAGTGCTTGTCATACATGTGTGATCTTTATGTCAGCTTTATAGATTAGCTTTAGTCATAACTGCTTCAGGTGTCAATCGCAAAAAGAGGTCTTTGTTACAAGGGTTTTCTCATGCTCTTCTTTCTGGTGAATCTGCATTATTCTGCTTTTCTTTATATTAAAAGAAAAAGTCTGACCTAAGGGTAAAGTTACCAGGGCCATCGAATCTGGATAAACAATCATTCACCGCTAGGATATACTTCTTTAATACAATGCCAGAATGTGGTTTCTGTTCCCCACTTTGGTGCTAATTTTTGTGATCTTTATCAAGTCATTAAAATCTTAACCAGCTTTAGACATGCACTGAAGTATGTGCATTAGGGAGCTCTGAGCTCATGAGATCATCAGTGCAGCCAAATACAGAAATGGGTTCTTTCCTTTGGCTCTATGGCAGTGATGCTCCAATAGACACGTAATTTGGATGTGTAAAGATAGATGGATAAAAGCCAAGCCTCAGTGAAAACATCAACTTCCTTAGTGACTGCACTTCCTTACCAAATAAATAAACAAGGGGAGATAAGTTGGTCATGCTTCTAAAAGCTTGGACTATCCAAAGTTGCAGAGAAGGAATTTGTTGTTGTTCTAGCAATACCAAGGCTCTGAGAGCCCATGGACAAACTGGAAATTCAGAACTTGGACATGTTTGAAAATACCAGTGGTCACCTAAGGGTCCTAAACCTTTCTTGTAATCATGCAAGTAGTTCCACTTGTTTCCATCTTACATTTTGAGTCCTGCTGTGCTGAAGATGCTGTCAGTTCCAGCTGAATTTAAGTGGCACGTGAATGCCTTACAGCCTGCAAGTGACAGCCCAGACCAGGACTTGGACTGTTACTGCTGGTGGTGTGAAATACTAGCCATGGCTTGCTTCTCTTAAGTCACAGATAGTTTTTTATTGTACCTGTAGGAGATTTTAAAAAAATAAGACTTAGCAGAAAACCGTTATTGTTTGGTTTCATTCAGCCCTACCTAAAAGTAGTCACTTGGTTTGTTCCACCTGTGTGTATCTGCACTGAATTGTATTTCCCATTGTGACTAGATCCTGATGGCTTTGTTGGGAATCTGAAATCTGAAAAAGTGCCTTCCTGGCCTCTCATTGCTTCCCAGTGCTGAACCAGTTATGTCAAGGCAGCAGGAGAGTGAATCTGATAGGAATGTTAACACTGGTGAGGATGGCAGTGGGTGGATCTTCAAAGAAAAACACTCAAGACACAGCTCACCTCCTTGGCAAACCAATTTGCCGGTGTCACCCCTGCCGTGGGTAAATGACTAGAGTGAAAACTGAGGGGAAAAGAATGGTTCTCCTGCTGTAATTGTACAAACCCTTTCAACAGTGTTGCACTCCACAAAGTCACCATAGGTAAATAATAAGCCACACAAACAGCAACCTAATGTTCATTTACTAAAATAATCTATTATCCTTTTTAGCTGTAGATCCCCTTTGCTGAGAGTTGTTACATATTTATGTTGCTAAGAGCTCACTATCCATATGCTGTTAATTAGATGGTTTTCGCAAGAGCGTGGTTCAGCGTCTAGGTCACTGCTTTGGGAAGCAGGGGCCCTGGGTTTAGGGACAGGCAATGCCATGGTGGGACCGCAGTCTGAGCAACTATGAAGTCCCAAAATGCTGCCAGTAGTGGGTGCTGCATTTATCCCTAACCTGCACAGTGTAGCAGGGGTGGAGAAGTTGCAGGAAGGCTTTTCTCTTCCACTGCCCTCCGCCAGGACCGCTCACTTCTCACAAGATGGGAGCAAGTGGAGGGGAGACTGCAGTGGGGTAAAAGACAAGGGGTCACCATGACAGCTTGCACACACAGATCCAAATAATTGTTCCTAGCGCCTGAGTTAACTGGGCTAGAAGTATGAGAAATGCTAAAAAGTCCTTTACATGCAATCTCCTGGTGTAAAGAGAGCGTCTGATAGGAACGTGCCTCTGCTCTCGGGTTTGGAGCTGTTAGGAGCTGCTTGCTCTAGCAAAGCAAATATTTGGTGGCAGAACTAGATGTAGAAAGTGCTGCATAGCAGGAAAGTGTGAAGTATTCATAATGATATGAAACACTACTCAAAATTCAATGTTTTTCACATTCTGTTGCAAGCTTAAACATTGGAGTCCTGTCACAGAAATTTCTGCTGCAGTAGACGTGATTTCTGGCATAAATGGGCTTGCTTTCAATAGAAAATGGGACAATTTTCAAAGGAAAAAAAAGGCCAATTTGTGAGTGAAAATGGGCTTCTTTCTGAGGAAAGAGGCTTATAAACATGAAGTGATAAATGGCTTTGCAAGTTTTCTGTACAATAATGACAACTTCGTAATAAAAATAATGGAAAAGTTGTATCTGGGGGAGGTGAGAGAACCTTCATTCAGGTTTGAGTACATTGAAAACATTTTAGTAAATATTTGAAAACTGTAAATTTTGTTCCACTCTGTAATCTGAATTTGTGTTGGAGAGATGTCAGTAATATTTCTTTGTGTATATTTATATGACGTTGTAAATCAAAATCCTGTTCTTGGTGTGTTGGTTTCTGAGATGAATTTCCTGCAATAACGTTGTAAGACTTCTCTGGATCCCTTAAGTGGCAGAGGCATCTGATTTTCTAGTAGTCCATATGTTTTTAGAACTAAATATATCTTTTGGCTTGACTCATTGATTTTACATGCAAATATATTGCTTCGTAATAGCTGATCTGATGAGCAACTGATATGGCTGCTTCTTTCATGGCCTAAAAATGCTTCGGGATCTAAGTAGTAAGGTGTTGGGATCTCATTCTTACACATGCTCCAAGAAAGGTGTTCTATGATTCTGTGTTCTCTGCTATGGGATAAGCCCTACTTCAGCTTCAATTCTGCTTTGGAAGGCGGTGTATGGGCAGTAGGGAGAGATCACAGTGTTGCTATACAGAGTTTCACACCGGTTGTCTCCTTTCATTTTAATTCTCTGGAAAAGTGTTGGATGAAGGACATAGGATAAGTGATGCAAAGATGTGTAGCCTCGGTTCTTGCAAACACAGTTGGCTGACAGAGGTGCTCTGAGGTTAAAACAGCCCTCTGGCAGTGGTGCCCTAGACTCCCTTTCAGGCATCATTCTGTCACTTTGCCCCTGAGATCCAGACTTATTTTCAAGGAAGGTTTGAGAAAACATTCCTATCACACGTGATATTCTTACCATATAGTTTTAAAGGTGACTGCAGCACTTTCCCATCTGTGCCCTTCGTTGATGATGCAGCATGCGTGGTCTTCGGGCAGATGGTTCCGTGGAAGGCAGCCATACAAATGGGGAAAATATTCATTTTAATCAGGTGCCCAGTCTTGTCTCCAGTGAAATCCATGTCAAAATTCTCAATGAGTTCCATGGGAGCAGGTTCTGATGCTGATAATAGCCTCCTTTGATGGGATGGATTACTGCTCAGTTGTCTAGCTTACAAACAGATGTGCTTTCATGCCTGATGCAAGAGAGGTGAATCAGAAATGCTGTCATATTCCCATTGCAGAGCAGTGGCCACAAATTTTTTTTCCAAGTTATGGCTGTTGTTTGGGGGAGGGAAATTAAGGATGGCTTTTGCTGTGGACCTGTGCTATCTGGTTCTGTAGTAGGTAGGCAGTCAGATAAGTGACCATGACCACGACCTAGGAATCAAATATAGATATCAGTCATTAATGTTACTGTACACATTTGCTTTGTACAATAACTGGCAGTCTTTGCCCATTTTAGAAACTGCTTTTTTGTTTCTTACAGTGAAGCAAACTTAGATTACCATTCTAAATGCTAATACACAGAATGAATGCAATTTAATAAAATAAAGTGAATTTGTATGTAGATTGTGGCATTAGTATTTAATTATGCACCATCATAACAGTGATGAAGCAAGCTGCTAAATATTGGTGCACTGAAGCAAGAGCTTACTTTTAAAGTGCAGGTATATTTTAATTTCTTTCCTCTTTCTTAGTCTCCTTAAATAACGGCAGAGATTATGCACTGTTTACCAATATTCACCTGTCTTCCTTCATGCTATATTCGAAATAAGGTTTCCATTGTAGCAGCTGAAGGCTGTGCTTCTCTTTTGGTAAAACACTATGATAACAGATCCATTTCTGTGCTGTTTTATCAGGTCAAATTAAGTTTTTGATTTTTTTATTTATTATTTTAATGTGAATTAAAAGTAGTATGTAATCTGTTGTGTTTTGGTTGAGTTTTTTTTAATCTTTCCTTTTTTGTTATTTTTTCAGACTATGGAAACCCCACAATATGAGCTAGTTATAGAAGCCAAGGACATGGGTGGTCTTGATGTGGGACTCACTGGCACAGCAACTGCCACTATTCTTATTGGTGACAAAAACGACCATCCACCAGAATTTACCAAGAAGGAGGTAAGAGTTTGCCATCTGTGTTCTACAAACTGGTGTCAGTAATTGTAATTAGCTTGTTTCTAAATACTAAAGTGTTCCTTAATGGAAGGAAATACTTAAAGACATCTTTTGAGCTCAATGTGACAGACTTGCCTGGAGCTGCTCTTTTCTTCTTTTACATTAGTAAATCTGTACACATTTCCAAACCAAAATGCAACCACAACGTAAAAATGTGCATCAAGAGATATCATTCAGAGGTTAGCTAACAGGATGAAAACCTGTGAAATAAGTTTGCTAGTGGTAACTTTGTCCTTTTGCTCCTATGGGGGAAAATAGAGGATTCCCTCCTGCCTATGTTCTGGCTTATTGCTTTTGATGGTCAGGAACATGGATGAAAGTGACATGTTTTATTCTGGCTTCAGTACTTCACCTGTGAGACAGCTAGTGTTGAGAGTTCCGTAACGAAAGCTCTAGTCCTAAAAGTGTTAAATGTAACCTACAGGTGGAATTTTCAAGGGAAGGTTTTATTCACTGAAAGTTGAATCCCATTAAAGAATATTGACAAGTCTGAAAAAAACCCAAACCAAAACAAAAGATATTTACTGCCTGCAGGAAAGTGTAATGGTGCTACAGCAAAGTTCTGGTTTCAGGCAGAGCATCTACCAAATTTCCTGCCCTTCCCACACTGCTCCCTTCCCTCCCCTACATTTCTTACTAGTCTGATTTCTTTTTTTTTTTTTGCCTCTGGTATCTGGAGAGAATTAGAGAGTATCAAAAGTTTCACCTAAAAACAGCTCAGATCGATTTTGCTGTAAAAGTTTCCTGAGGCTCTGCAGATTTTAAGGAATATTCCCAAAAGACGAGAAGGAAGCATGAGGGATGCTGATTTTAAGGTAATTTTAGAAGAAGAAAAGGAAAGCCTATTGCTATAAAAATCTTGGTTTTCTCCAAGGAGGAAGAAATAAGAAACAATTACAGTTTTGCCAACAGGAATATTATTTTTCACTAATCAGTGGCAAAAGTTATAATTACTTAAGTAAAATACTTTGGTAAGAGCATTTCAGTCACCTAAAAAAGTACCACAGAGAGCCTGATCCAAACCTTTCAAGTACGTAGGTGATAACTAAGTGGCTTTGATCAAACTATTAGTTCCCTTGGAATTACCCTTTAGATCAGACTCTTAATGCTCTGAAAGCTGCTTCCTGACAATCAATAGTTAAAATATATTTAGAACATTGTATTTTTTTAGCCCTCCAGCGCATAACAAGGTAAAAGGGCAACGCGGTCTCTTTAGAAATAGGAACGGCACCAATATTGATTTTATTAATCAATATTGGTGCAGTTCATGTCCTTCAGAGTCCTACCTACTTGAATTTCCAAACTTTGAGGTTTCTTCTTTTGAAGAAATCTTTCTATAATTCTGGGTCCTGTTTGACTTAATAATTTTCTCTGGTAATTTGGGCAAGCATGTTAAAAAACCTGGGAGGCTGCTTAGCCCCAAATATACTGCTAGACAGTGTTTATTTCTGTGGAAATTCAGAAATGTTTATAAATTTGTTTCAGTCAGTGACTGTAAAAGGTACTCTGTACCCTTGAAAGTATGGTGGTTTCAGTATAGAAATAAAATAGCAGAAGTGAAGAGGTAGTATTATGCAGCTTTCTTTGAAAAATCCAGTCTTATATGTTTTTCTTGCACTTTATATGCCATAGAAATTTTCCCATAGAGACATGTCTCTTTTTTTTTTTTTTTTAATACTTTGTGACATGGTTTTGAACCGTTCACTATTTAGAGATGTTAATGACCTCAGAAATCTTCCTCTGCCTTGCCAAGTGACATTCTTATTCCATGAATAAGGCAGGAAAAATCTATCATTAGACGTATGATGTTAGGTCCCTTTAGAAACATATGCTCTACTTAAAATAAGTGATGTAAGAGGGAGAATGTCTATTAATAGAGTTAATGCCACTTTATTTGGCTTACTGCTTGAAGTACTAAGTTATTGCATTTTAATACCAGTCGCGTACCACATGCTGAAATACTATTGATTTGAAGACTTGAAAGAAAAAGACATAATATACAAGATAACTTTTGAAGTTAAAAGCTCAAATTCAGTAAATCCGGAGGTTTGATTTCAGAATGCATCTTCTTTTATTTACTTTGAGACTGCTTTAGGATTGGGTTCTTATGGTATTGACATGTTTTCCCAGCAATCTTCCTTCTGTTTAAAGAGATTCTCACAATGCCTTTTTCCCTTTTGTAAAACAAAAGCTTATTTACCGGCCTGTGTCTTCTTCTGATAGTATAATTTCTGCCTAATATAGCTCTGCCTTTATTTGTCGTGTGCTGTTGATGTAGCTTGATTAATGCTTTCAACGCATTCTCTTCGTCTGTAACCACAGGAGCCAAATTCATTCCTGATCTGGCACAGTGAAAGCCAATGAGTTATGAGAGCTGGATTTGTTCAAAAGTCTGGACACTGTATAACTACAACATGGGGTACCCCAGTGCCACTGAATGGTGTTTTGTAGAATGTAGAATGCAGTTATATATATGTATATATAACTAAAGATATATATTATTTCAATAATATTAATGCCAAGGCAGAAGCCTAATGATTTTTTCATAGCTTTCTCCAAAGCTGAAAATTTCTTTATTTCTATATATTTCTATTTCCAAGAATTCTTCTATGTGTTAGCAGGTATTTCTTTGAGTCTTCGGTGCAAGGCAATCTCAGTCACGCATGAACATTTCTCTGTCCACTGAAGATGACTTTTATCTTTTGACACTTGACCAATCTCTTCCACTTTTTTTTTCTCCAGAAACAAGTTTATGAATCTACCCCAGAGCAATGATAGACTTCTGTGTACCCCTATTTACTCTCTTTATTCCTTGGAGGTCAGGTCCTTACACGCCTGTTTAAAATGCTCATGAACAGGCTTTATTTGATGTTTTCAGAAAGGTCTAAATCCTCTTTTGTTGCTGTACACAATTTTGCAGTAGCCTCTACTGGGTTTATGTAGATCTTGCTGGAAGAAGGAGTATTTGCCTACTGAATCTGTTCTTCCATCTGCTATTTTTTTCCCCTGGATACCACACCCGTGCCATTCTGATGCAATTGTGGCCTTCCTGCTTAAGGAAAAATTCATTGATGGTGTGTCAGGGCATAATCACAGGAGCTGAGCAACCTGGCTGTGATCCAACACAGCACTTCCATTAACTTCAGAGGAACAGTTTAAGCCCTTGAGGTCATAAGTATGTGTCAAGTACTTTGATGGGTTAATGTATGAGACACCACTTTGTGGGACTCAGCCCAGTTAATTATTTTGTTACTGCCCCATCACTCTACACACCTCCAAAATATCTGCCTTGTTCTATTTCACATGTGTACTTACTGTTCATAATAGGCTCTGAGCAGTGGAAAAATCCATTCAGACACGCAAACAGTACCCTGTTCCCTCCAGGGGTTTAAATAATTTCATCTTTAATGCCTAAAAGAGCAGTATTTTTAAAATTCCTCCAAAAATCTCAGGTGAGGTAACAAGGTCTACCTTTTGAAAGGTCACAATGGCTGGGATATTGTGCCAGATTTAAATTATAGAGAATTAAAATAGAAATACTTGTAAAGCTAGTGGCCTCTTTTTCAGGAAGTTTAAATTTACAACCCCATTTCTATAATATGAAACAGTTTTAAAATTAATTTTGTGAATTATTACTGAATACAATGTGTATTTTGTATCGCAAAGAGCAATTTGGCATTTCCTTTCCAACAAGTTAAGGGCTTTGGCTCAACTTCTGTTCAGCAGCTGGGGATTACTTATGTGAAAGTGAGAAATGAAGCAAAGCAAGGAGCAGGAATTGATCATTCTGTAAAATCTGACACCTGGTTTGTGTACTGCAGGATATTCAAACTCTGTGGGAATGAGTTAGACTGAGTGAACGGTAATGGTGCTGAGCATTGTTTTTATACCTAGCACATTATGGAAAATTAGAATTATTTTCTTGTGTCCCTTTGGCAAATGATGACAGACCACTGCAGTGTTGTACGCTTGCAAAACAGTGATTTTAGTCTATGGTTAATGTCACCATGGTTGAAGTGTGATGAAAAACTAGCAATGTAGCATCTGCTGGAGGCTACGAGCTGGCAAATACATCTCTTGTATCTTGTCCTGTAGGCCTGGTTCTGCCCAGATCTTCCCTAAGACCCAGTGGAGGAAAAAACGTTGTATCAACATGACACCAATATGGATTTCACCCCTTCCTGTCTGTTCTTCCTCCTCCAAAAAAAGATAGTACAACAAATCCTACTTCTGGTCTTGTCCCATTACTGAATGCAGAGTATATGCTCAAAAATGGGATTGCACTGAGTATATTTGCCTCCCTCTTGGGGCTTCTGTCATGATTTTTTAAAGTATCTGTTCGCAAGAAAGCAGCTTCCACTGCTGCTCTTTCATAATACTTTATTTTTCCTTAATGTTGACTGTGTTGTCTTTCCTTAGTAAATGCTATCAGGCACTTGAGAGAAGAATGCAGTGATGTGGCTTAAGGGGATGAGTTTTCTACAGTCCACCTAATTCTCACATCTGTCCACCAGAGATTTTGGGCAGCAGCACATCCTTAGTCATACCCTGAAAAGTCGTGGGACTTGTCAGAGTGCTGTCACTTGCTCATTGGGCAGAGTGACTATTTGGCCAGGGAACAGTCTCGTTCTTGAGACAATTCCTCTTTCTTTCACTTCTATCTTCACCTTCAACTTCATTTCTGGGACAAAGTAATATAAAATAGAATTCTATCACATCAGGAGAGTAGGATTTGGGAAAATATTTTTCCTAGTTTAGATTTTAAGAAAGTATTATCTTAGAAATAAATTTTCTAGTTAAATAAAGAAGCTTACCACCTGTGAACAGAATAAAATCTGTGTAATTTGACAAAACATTATAGTGAAATTTGAGATATACGAGTGCTGTGAGTCTTAAGTGAAAAAATATGATTTGCTCACATTTTGAATACCTACTGATAAATG